TGTAGCTTTGTGGAGAGCTCAGTTTATCACATTTCATAATTGTTTAGTTCAGGGTTGCGGGCTTTCCCTTGTCTTTTTATCGTGGCATTTTTAGGTTGTTCTTGTGAGATGAAATGGGCTTTGGGAAGGATTAACCCATGACTGGCTTTGGGGAACAACATAACACATGAGTTCGTGCAGAAGGGAGGGAGGTGGTGCCTGGGAAGTGGAGATGCCATGCACTGAGGTGGACACACCAGAACAGAGCTAGACCTGGGGGAAAGACAATGCTAACCACTGCCTGGGGCATCCTGCGGACATCAAGGTAACACTGTTTGAGAGGACAGACCCTTAGGACTCCACCTGCCCACTTATCTCCTAGGCCCCCATATCATGTAGGACTAGACATCAGATACCTATCACTTTCTTGTAACCAGTTCACCCTTAGCATCTATCATTTCATGAGCCATCTCACACTTCTGACATTAATTTCCTAATCTTTAAAATGGGCAACACTGATACCTCCTATACCACTGATGAACTATTTTATACTGAGGTGCATATCTTATCCCTTGATGTGCCCAGGCTCCTGTGTGTCTATGGCCACTGGCTTAAAACAAAGGTACCTCTACTCGGTAGAAGCTAGGAAAGCCCTGAGGCTGGTATTCTGGACTCTCCCTGAGCCCGGCCTGAAGCCTGGAGTCTGAGTTCCTGGGGGAACAGCGAATGGGAATGAACCCCGCTCCCCTCCACTGGGATGGACTCCTGTCTTGAAACAGCATCACCGTCTTTCTAAGGCTCTCAGCAGCTCCACAGTGGACAGTCTGGGCCAGGGCAGGGGCAGGGGTAGGGCTGGGTTAGGGCTACAGTGGGTGCAGGCTGGGTGCCTATGGGTCTAGGGCTGCCTTTGGACTCCAGGAGGAAGGGTCTACTCCAGTAGCCCCGGAAGCTGGTGCTTCTGTTTGGGGGGCGGTTCTGGGGGCTTCAGATCTGCGTTTCAGAGCTGTCCCTTGGAGCAGCATGATGGCAAACATCTGGAAGATGCTGGAGGGGTGAGGTGGGGCGCACAGGTTGCTTTCGTACCCTGTGGGGTTGCGGAAAGCGGGGAGGGGACCCTAGTAGATTCTAGGCTCCTAGCACCGGCAGCCGTGGTGCCTCCATCTGTGCCAGGCGATTGCCCTGGCCTCCCTGGGGTCAGGAGTCAGCTCACCCGCTGGCAGGACAGGCCACTTTATCACATAGCGCAGCTGGCTCAAAGGTGGCCCCCCAGCGCTGCTAAATCGGGGCCACCAGCTCCTGCCGCAGGAAGAGGGAAACGCAGGCAGGATGTCCTCTTCTGTGGCCGACAAGTCCTTTCCCATGAACCCCTGCTGACCTTGCCGGCCACGTGGCGGGGGGCTCCCCCACTTGCCACCAGGACCTGAGCCGGCCAGGCCGCCAGGAGGGAGTAGGGGCAGGAGGCGGAGGAGCAGGGGCAGGGGGCGTGTCTACCATTGGCACCGCCCAGTGGGCAGGGCAAGCGCCCTGAGCCTCAGAGCCTCCTCCAGCCTCGAATGCCCGCACCTTCCTGCTCCCAGACTTGTCCCCTCGGCGTGACCGGAAAACCGAGATCCCAGAGGAAGCCAGTGTCTGAAAAGGATCGAAACTCAGGAATCCCTGGCTCCAGCTGGGACATGCCACAGCTTCTCTATCAGAGATCGCCCTAGGCAGTGTAAGAGGGTATTTGGATTCTTCCGGCCCACCTTTCACTGCCAGCGGCTTCACAGAAGTGGAGTGCAGGCTAGGCCCTGGTGGAGAGAGACACCTGCCCGGTGGAGCAAAACATCCAAACGATAAGCAAGAGGGTATAAACTAGACAGAAGAGAACGTCCCTCCTTCCCTCCTCCCATCACACTCAAGCACTCCCAACTTTCCTGCCACCATGCTTCTCCACACCTGCTCCACCTCCGGGGGTTCCCCGAGATGGATGATCTTATGATCCACCTGTTTGCTAAGCCTGAGCCCCGGAGCACACCCCTCCCTTCCCACTTCCCCACTTACTAAGGGCACACTTAACCATTGTCCCATTCACTTGCAGTTCCCTGGCTCTGGCCACCTCTCCGGCCACCCTCATCCACCTCTCCAAGCTTTAGTCTCATCTGACCATTTATTTGTTCCCATCTGGACATTCCTATCTCTGGGTCTCATTTGAGGGACTCCTCACCCTGCTTGGAATTCCCTTTCCTGATGTTCTGCAGACCCTTCCCAGAAGCCTCTAGCTGAAAGAGACGGGGATTGTTTTCCTGTGCAGAACCAGCTAGGTCTCTCTGATTACTTTCACCCCTAGGTTAGAGACACCTGATTCCATGACCCTGTCCCCATCAGGCTGGCACCTGGAAACCCCCTGCAGGATGGGGCTGTGCCCCTGTTCTTCATCCTCAGTAGGCAGCATGTGGTTGTGGGTGCACTGAACTATAGTCTTCTTCCTTGGCACACCGGAGAGTTCACCAGACTGTTCACTAGTGCTGCCCTATCCCAGGTCTGGCTCTGGTAAGGGATTAGGACCCCACACTGGTTCTGGATGGCACCAGGACTTCAGTCCCCAGAAGGCCATAAGCACCTGCAGACTCCCCCTTCCCCCCACATCCTACAGCACCCCCCTACCCCATTTTCACTACCCTGGACCTGGGTCAGACTTCAGAGCACAAATATCAGAGAGATCAGGTGGGTAGGTTTGATTCAGACTATGGCAAGGCAGAGTGTCCAACCCAGCTGCCCAGCAGTCTCCTGCTTCCCCTGTGTCCCCAGCTGGTTGCCCTCAAAGATAAGTCCTGAGCTGAAGCCTCTTGAAGTTGCCACTTGCCTTCTACACTGGGTCAGCTGGGGTCAGTCTGCAGAACGGGATCAAGACACAGCCTCCAAGTGCAGCCCAAGCCCAAGGACCCCTTCAGTATTTTCCTGCCTTGCTCACTGAATGCACAGGGAAACCTTAGTGCAGGGTGGGGGAAAGGAGGGCTTAGGCCACACTTCGAGGACTGAGGGGCATAGCCAGGACAAGGGTGTGATTCTGTGCTTTGGAAGGGTTTGCTTTAGGGTTCCTGGGTTTTTTTTACACCTGTCACCTACTTCAGCATCCCTGAGGTTAGGCTGCTCTCAGGGGATTTTCTTTTTGAACTCTGCCATTGAACTATACCCCATTCCAGCATTTAGAGGTTCATGTTCCTGCTATAACAGCCAACACCAGGCTAGTCTCTGATTCAGCAGTGGGTGGAGCTAGGCACAGGGCTCAAGGAGGCATGGTTTGTAGCCCACTGGCACCCCCCCCCCCATCCAGCCTAGGACATTCTATCTCTCTCATCTTCCCTTCACAACCCATGTGGTCAGTCACGGTGCATACTTCAGGGACTGGCATCACTTCCTCTTACTCCTCTACCCCGCATTCCTGCTGACCTCTGCCAGTTCTCCTCACACCTGTACAATACCTCTGTCTCCCTGGAAGCCCCCCTCCCCGCAGGCCTCTAATTCCAGGATCTCAGTGCATGTGTGGGAAACAGAATTTGCACTATTTCGGTTCTAGCTACCCAGCCCAACCTCCCCTTAGTCTCAGACGCCTGACTTGGCTGACTGTCAGTCATGTCTCCTGGGCAGAGGGAACTCTTGTTCTTCATCATTATTGTCCAACCAGGGTCCCATTGACGACTCCCTCCCCCCAGGGCTGGATATAGGGGAGCAAGAAACAGCCAAAGGGGCAACCCTGATCACACCTACCCAGAGGCTCAGTCATCCTGTGTCTGCGCACAGGTGCAATCACACCTCCCTCATCCTCCCTGTCTGTGAAGGTACAGAGGGTGAGCCCAGAGCAAGGCTCTGATAGCCAAAGACTGGCATTGACTAGTTCCCTTCCAGTCAGCTCCTGAGGACTTTGGGTGAGTTACACATGTTTACCCTGTGTAAAATGGGCCTCCTACTCTGTGAGAAAGAAGGCACGAAGTATGCAAAGCCCATTTCTCATTTCTGTGGTGTACAAACGCACAGGTTCCTGTCTTTCCCTGCAGCCTCTCAATACCCCCCCATCAGGCAGAGCGGGCTCTGTGACGACCCCGCCACCCTGGATTTTCAGGGACAGCACAGTGGACGCCCCTCTCATCCTCTGCTTATCCCGATGCTTCCTTCCTGACACCTCCACGCAGACGCTCTGCTTCCCGCGACTCTCCAACTCCGGAAGAGCCACGCTCTCACCAAACTTGAACCAGCTGGTGACTGCCTGAAGCCCTCTCACAGCCGCTTGGCTTCTGCCTCAAGGTTCAAGGTTCAAGGCTCCCATCCTTCTGATTCTGGGATCCCCTCAAATCCCGGGATCCTTTCAAATCCTAGGAACTCCGGCCTTTCACGTTCTCTACGCGGACCGCTCTGGGGTTGCGGACTCAAGATTTGCCTTCCGTTCCAGTTTGCGCCTAGGATCACCTGGGCCCGCACTAGTCTCGGGTGCGGGGATCATGAGTCCCTGGCTCTCAGTCCCTCCCAGGAAAGGTGGACGCCGGTCCCGAGCGCCCTCTGGGGGACCTCCCGGGATCCTCCTCCAGCGCAAACGCGAGAAGTCGGGAAGTGCGCACCCAAGCCTGAGGTAGGGTGGGGATGGTCGCCCTGGTCCCCGGGGAAATGACCCCGAGTGCTGCCGGACACGACCCAGTGGCGATGCGCCTGGGTTTCCGAGGGGGAGCGAGTAACGAGGTGAAGGATCCAGGCTAAGGACGTAGACCGCCCAGGCCGGGCTTCAAGCCACCGCCGGTGGACCGAAGTCTGGGACCGGGTCGCACGCCTCGGCCACCCGGGCCATGACCCGGCTGCAATCCCCGCCCGCTCTTTCCTGCTCCCCTCGGCCCCGGGCCGCAGCCCATCCGGAGCCCGCACCCCAGGCTCCTGCGCGGCCAGGTCCCCAGACCGTCCGTAGTCGGTGCGGTCTCACCACCAGCCTCTGCTGCGCGACGGCCCCAAAGCGGCCAAGCCCGGCCCCAGGCTGGGCAGCGGCCCGCGGTGCTCACCGTCCAGGAGTCCGAGGCAGAGCCACAGGCGCAGGCACAGCACGGAGCCCGGCTGCATCTCCGGCCGCTGCGGCGCGGGTCGGACCTGCGCTGGTCGCCGAAGCTCAGCGCTGGAGTGAGAGCGCGCCGGGGCGCCGACGGGGCGCGGAGCTGGCGGCGGGCCGGGGGCGGAGCCTAGGCGGGCAGGGGCGGGGCTCTGGGGAGGAGGGTCCGGGCCTCCTCAGACCGCCCCTCTCCCCTCTCTTGGTCCCTCCCAACCCAGTCCCGAGCGTCCAGCCCTGGGGAGAAGAGTGCCAGCTTTGCACGGTTCCAAAGCAGCCGCTACCAAGCATCACTTCCAGGGCTAGTGCGGGCTGGAGAAGCGCAGGTGACTGCCTGGCCTCAGTGCGCCCGGCATGAGCAAAATGGGCAGCGCGTGTTTTCCTGCAATTTCATCAAAACCTGCTGAGTTTAGAGCGCGCAGAGACCACGAAATGATTCTATAAGGGCGGTGTGTCGGTGAGCGAGCACTCTGCAGACTTGGCTCTCCGCGTTACAGCACGTGCTGTAACCACCTCACCTCGCCCTCCCACCATGGCTGTCGCTTAGAGTGCCCCAAATACTTTTGCTCTGAGCTCATTCATAGGTCTTTTTATCAGCGACACTACACTTTCTGTTTTGGCAAAACCTCACGCAGACTTCCTTTCTCTTTTCGGTTCCATTGCTAGAATTTTCCTACTTCAAAATAAATCCTATGACAATGACGGTTTCAACCTCCTGCTTTTTTTTTTTTTTCAAAACTCCGTTCACGTTTCCCACGCCCCCGCCCGCAAGTCCGTTCATCCTTGCCAAAAATCAAGGCCAGACAGTCGATGATAGCAGTTTTAAAGTTACCATCTATTCTAAGTACAAGAAATAACTCAATGGACTTTATCATTAAGTTGGAATTGCAAATTAGTAGGAAATTATTTTAATTTAATAAATAATGTTGGGGGAAATTAGGCAAACATAACATAAATTCATATTCTTTCTCAATCATAGATTTTCATCCTTTTTTAGTTACAAAATTAAATTATTGTGAGACATAACATGCTCACTGGAAATATGTGATTACTACTGTGTATTATAAATGTGAATTTTGAAACAAAGATCTGTGTTTCCAACATAGAACGATGAATGGTTCTAACATTCTATAAACTTCCACTTCCCAAAAGTTTCCCATACCCTGGTCTTATAATTTTCTTGCTTTTCTTTATCATTTTATCACGACAATATATGTTTTAACATTTTTAAAGTGAATTTATACCATATCTACTTTTACTCCTAACTGTTCAGATCCATCTACATATTGTTACGACAACCTACACCCTTAGTTTTATAGCTTCATAGCTTTCATTGTTTGATGCGCCCTGGCAATTTGTCTAATATTGGTGGAAGTTTCAGTTGTTGCCAATTTCCAACTTTTACTGCTCTTGCATATTTTTCCTGGTGTGCATATGCTCTACACATATATACATATATGTGAATGAAACTTTTAGTCATGTGTGTCAACTCTGGTTGATAGTGCCACTCTTTTTTCATTCCAATTGACTTGTAGTGGCATCTCATTATGGTAGTAATTGGACTTTCCCTAATTACCACTGGGGCGGAGCACCTTTTTATGAATGGACCCTTGGATTTCAAGTCTTTTTCTCTTTTGCCCGTCATTTTCTTACTGATGTTCAAGGAGCTCTTTAGACCTTCTGGGTGTAAGTCCTCTGTCAGTTCTGGTTGCTGTCACGGTCTAGCTGTCATTGTCTAACAGCTTACTCCAAACTGCCGTGAGGCAGAATGGCACCCCTGTTATTTTGTTCTTGTTTTGGGAAGTCAGGAACTTGAGAAGAGTTTGGCTCTGTGATTCTTGAATGGGATCTCTCAAGGTTTCTGCGGCAATCTGAAGATATGGTTGGGTGGGAGGGTTTCAGGGGTTGCTGGCAGCCATCCGGGAGCTCAGCTGGGGCTGAGTGTTCCCATCCATGGTCTTTTCCTTATGACAGTGTCACGGTAGTTGAACTTCACATACAGCCATGGCTTCTCAGAAATGAGGTAATTGGAGCCAAAGAAGTAGTCGGAGCTTGTGCAAAGGGCATTCTCCTCATCTTTGAGGCCATCGGTGGGAAGCACACAACCACTGCGGCCACAAACTCCTCTCCCACCAGTGTCTTACTTTTCACTCTGTTTGAGACAGAGTCTTGCTCGGTTGCCCAGGCTGTCCTGATACTCCTGGGCTTAAGCAATCCTCCTGCCTCAGCCTCCTGAGCAGAGTGGCTGGAATTATAGGTGCACATCACTGCACCCAGCTCTTTCTTTCCTTTCTTTCTTTCTTTCTTTCTTTCTTTCTTTCTTTCTTTCTTTCTTTCTTTCTTTCTTTAAATTTTAATATTTTATTTATTATTTTTATTTTAGTTTATGTGTATTGCCTATGTGTAAGTAAGTGCACCCAAAGTGCCCCCTGTCGGGCAATGCCCATGTAGCGGTCAGAAGAGGGTGTCAGATCCCCTGGAACTGGAGTTACAGATGATTGTTCACCACCAGGTCTTCTGCAAGAACAACCAGTGTTCTTAACCGCTGAGCCATCTCTCCAGTCTCCCAGCTCATTCTTATTAGTATCTGTGGGTGTGAGGAGAAACATGATATTAGTTTTAATGCAGCACCCTGATGATCTGTCATCTTCTTTCTGACTGGTGTAATTTATATTCTTTTAAAGAAATCTTTTCCTATCTTGATATCGTGAAGATATTTACTATTTTTATCATTTACAAATTCTAATTGTTTTTCTTTTACATTTAGATCTGCAATCACCTATAAGGGCTTTTTCTGTATAGAGAAGGGACAAGCTGCTTCTTCCTCTTCCTCCTCCTCCTCCTCCTCCTCCTCCTCTTCTTCTTCTTCTTCTTCTTCTTCTTCTTCTTCTTCTTCTTCTTCTTCTTCTCTTTAAATCCATAGGATGTCTAAGTGTTCCATAACCATTTACAATCGTTCTCTCCTCAATGTTCTCTAATTCTGCCATGGTTGTAAATGAAGCATCTGCTTTGAATGGACTATTTTCTGGGTTTTGTCTGGTTGTCTCTTTGTACTGATCTCAAACATCAATCTTTGCTTCCTATCTGGGAGTGTAAAATGTTCTAACTTATTCTTCAAAAGTGACTGCATTTTTTTACAAGTTGCATCTCCATTTGAATTTTAGACTCACGTTTATCAGTTTCTAGACACATATGATGTCCTGGGATGGTGATTCGAATTATAATTCATCTATCATCAGTTTGGGAAAGCTGACTTCCTTTCTCGAATTCACAAAGATCCACCTGCCTCTGCCACCCAAGTGCTGGGATTAAAGGCATGCGCCACCATGCCCCGCTGACTATTGCTTTATTTTAAGATATTAATTTCTGTCTGTAATCTTTTATAACCTTCTGTGTAGCGCTCTTGAACACTGTTAGGGTTAGGCCTAGATAGCTAATATTCTTGTGCCATTGTCAAGATAATCACATGTGAACATTTAATTTTCTAATCGTTTGCTATTTTTATATAAAAACAATTTTTTAAAAGGGAGGCAGTTTGTTTTCTTGTTAGTAATTTTTCAGAGCTCATTAGCTATTTACACACAAAAATGATTTATCAGAAATATGATTTATAAACGTTATCTGCTAGACTGTACTTTGTCTCTTTACTCTCTTAAGGATATCTTTTGGAGAGAAGAAAATTTTAGCTTTGATGAAGTCCAATTCACTAATTTTTTCCTATTCTGGACCATAATTTGTCTGACATAAATATGGCCACTCCAGCTTTCTTTGCACAGCACATCTTAAAAAGACCAACATTTTACAGACTGGGGAGATGGCTTCTGGGTAAAACTGCTTGCAGAACAAGCCTTACCATTTGAGTTTGATCCCTGAAATCCACATAAGAAGCTGGATACAGTGGCTGGTGTCTGTAGGTTTAGTGCTCCTATGGGAGATGGGAGGTGGAGACAGGAGCTTCTGACAGCTCTGGTAGGCAGCGAAGCTTCAGAAACATCTAGAGACTGCCTCAAAAACAACATGGAAGGAATGAGCAGACTCCTGAAATGTTCTCTGACCTCCACATGTGCCATGGTACACATACACATCCACTCACAAAATAAATAATAATCTTAAAGACAATCTTTTACTGCTAAACTATTTTATATTCAAGTATGTTTCTTTTTTAAAAGAAATATTTATTTTTATTTATGTGTATATGTGTGTATGACACATGTGTGCAGGTGCCTGAGGAAGCCAGAAGAAGGCATTGTAGTCCCTGGAGCTGCTGCATATAGGTGTTGAGAACTGAACTCCAGTCCTCTGCAAGAGCAGCAAGTGCTCTTACCCACTGAGCCATCTCTTCAGCCCCAGTGTGTTATTATAGTCAGCATACAGTTGAATCTGAGTCTTGTTTTTAAAATCCCTTTTAGCTTGAAGTTATGGTTATTCACATGGCCGGGTTTGACTTTGTCATCCTGTAACTGGTTCCTATTTGTTGTATCTGTCCTTTGTTTCCCCCTTTCCCTCTCTCTTCCTTTTTTCTTTGGGGTTGCGTATTTTTATGATTATTTTATTTCCTTTGCTGGTTTATGAACTACTCTGTTTCTAACTTTAAAGGTTGCTTTGTGTTTCCAGCTTACATCTTTGTCTCATATTAGTCCACCTTTGAGTGACGGTGTCCGCCTTCCTGGGCACTGTTCACACCTGACCACAGCTAACCCCCTGCTTCTTCTCTCATCTCCAATCCTGTTGTTGATATTCTCATGCTTATTGTAACCCTCACAATAAGTTGCCATGATTTTCATCTGAGCAGTCACTCATCTTTTATAGATATTTAAATAAACATCCTTTGTAGTTACAATTTTTTATTTTATGTGTAGGAGTGTATTACCTGCATGTGTTATAAATGTCATGCAGTGCCTGCAGAGGTCAGAAGAGGGAGTTTGATCCCCTGGAGCTGGAGTTGTTAACTACAGATAGTTGATAACTGCCACGTGGGTGCTAGGAATTGAACCCGGGTCCTCTGCAAGAACAGCCAGTGCTCTTAACTGCTGAGCCATCTCTGCAGCCCTACATTTAAAATTTTTTAGGAACTGCCATGCCACTATTCCATAGTGGTGACATCATTTT